AACTAACCAGATAGCTCTCCTATGACCTTAAAAACAGACAAAGCTTTACCCTACGTCTCTTCCAAAATGGAAACGATGTGCTGAGGCATCCAATAGAATTTTAAGATTCTCGCTGAACAGCGATCAAATGCAGCTTTAAAGTGGATGAAACTGGCAAAACAGGGCATATGGAAACGTCGACATTGCTCAGTGACCAAACGAAGACTGAAAAAGTGGTAAAGGAAAGAACACCCCACCTTGAAGCCTGTTCCTAAACCAACCAGTGACTGAAATGTCCATAGACAATTCACGGACTCCAGAAAATCAGACTATTTCACAAATGGCATAAGCGTGCTGTAAACTCGCTGACAGAAATAAGCGAATTGTTAATGTCATCTCGTCATCACCACCTAAGGCAAACAGAGCTTAAATAGCACAGTAACCCAGATTTACTGCATACGACCGTTATAAATAATACTTCAGATAGATATGCCAGGCAACGTTCACTGCTGTAGCAAAGGTCACATTCTTCCCCAAAAACATGTCTGCCTCAATGATTAGTTTCCAAGTATTGTATCGCCTCCAACACCTGTGGCCAGTGCAAAGTTCCAAAGCGAGAAAATCTTTGAAAATATTTTCGTTCTCTATAAGGGCCGTCTCATAAAACCAAACTTGCTTCCGGCTGAGTTCACTTGGGAATTATCTCAGACTAGTATAGTCATCAGCACCAGCTGGTTCGTGACTCCATGGAAAAATCGCAGTCTTAGGATAACGTCGTTAGTAGCTGCCTAGACCTGCTTGACGAAGTTTCAGAACAGCAGACGTTTCAAGAAGCTGCATGAGCACCGTGAATACGGCTGTTTTCAGAATGGTGATGTAAGTTCGATCCTTTCATATGTAATGCAGTTCATCAAATCTGCCTATGCCAGTCCAGTAAGCCGATTCACTTCAGAGTCAACGTCGTTAACGCAATTCTAAGCCACATGAAATGATTCATCTCGCCCGTTGTAATACTATCCCATAGTATTTTCGGGCTGAAGGTTGAAGCGGACACCCTTATGATCTTCACTTTCTTGATACTGACCCGTAGTTCCACTCTCAAAGCATGTCATTTCAGCATTGCACGTCGTTTCAGGGAATATCAGTAAGCCATTTGCGCGGCATCGCTCAGCAGCAAGATAATATCGAAGTACTCAAGGTCCGCTACGAATACTGTCCAATATCTCGGGCTGCGCCGATGACAGACGGTACTGATTGCAAGAAAAACTATGCTGATTAATAAAGTTTACTATAAGTAAAAATATAAAATATTTGCTGTTGCAAACGAACACAACTTTTGCAACAACCTACTATTTACCATGCATCAAATCAACCCAACCCTAACATGTCATTATGTCGGTTAAAACTCAGCTCCACATAAAATCTGCTATGCTTCGCTCGGCGTACATCCCTGTCGCCTGCAACAGAAACAACTAGTATGACTCTGCGTTGCGTAATGGGACACCGTTTATTCGTTTGGTGTATTTCACCTGTCGCTTTATTTCGAAGGCTAGGCAATCGAGGAACCGATTTAGGTTAGATATCTGATTTAGCCAGTTTCACAAACAGGTCTCCTCT